TGTCATTTGACATATTGGTCCTTAATTCATCTATTGGATTACTTCTCACAAAGGCTTGTTGTGTGTTTATCTGTTCACTAATTACCAAACATTACCTGTGCTTATAATGAAAGAAATAGGTGGCATGATTAAAATAACTTTTATGTACAAATTATATTTACTTACAAGTGATGAGAAAGAATGTTATATACATTATATGTACAAAAACTAATGAACTATACAATTGATTGTGAAGGCATGATTCAGATGGATGGAATTGAAAATTACGTTGCCATTAAATATTTATACATCTTTAAAAAGGAATTGTTGGGGATTACTTATCTAATAAGTCGAGATCATCTGGACATGGATCAGGTAGGGCCAAGGCTTCAGTCTCCAAGTTGGAAGAAAACATCAGGGACCTCCTCAGTGCCGGGCAGTCTCCATCTTCCTCCTCGACTCCCCGCTGATCCGAGCAGTCCTCTCAGCTCCAGTCCAGAAGAAGTCCTCTCCTCGAGTTCCAAAAAGAAGTCTCTCTCCTCCGAGTTCCAAAAGAAGTCCTCTCTCCTCCGAGTTCCAAAAAGAAGTGTCTTCGTCCAAGTTCTATATCTTCCACCTTTTTTCATCCCCTCTCTTTTGGTAGGGGCAAGAATTGTTCCCATTGGTTCAATTTTTGTAACAGAAGGGATGACCACACCCCCTCCCCCAGGCCAAGGTAAAGCAGCAGGTACAGATTTCCATATTTCTGGTGGAAGGTGTGAAAAGGTCTTTCGGGATCCTGTTTAAACACTTGTCGGTCTTTGTCGGTGGTCCTTAAGGGTTTTTATTACCACTTACAAAAGGTTGTCCTAATGGGTTACCCTCCCTCAGGTACCCAACCGCCAGATGTTGGGTTTATACCTAAATATGTTTATATTTAGGTAATACCTAAATTACCTTAATGTTTATTTGTTTATACCTTTAAACTAATCATTCCACCGACGGTCTTTACAATACATAGCAATAACCAACTTAGTCTAATAAATTTCAAATTTCCTTTACCTAGATAACTAACTCAAAAATGTTTTGAGGCTGCAGGTTCCCTACTTATATCATGTAATGAATGCACACATGTTTTTATTTATTATTACGAATGGAGTAATGTGGAGAGAAATTATTTATAATTATTATCTTATAGTACATTGCACTTAGTGTTGCCCAAGTGCTAGAACGAGACGAGTCTTGGTCTTGCAAGCTCAGTCTTGGGCATGGTCTTGGTCTTGCGCAAGACTCTCGCAACAGTCTTGCAGTTACTTAAGAGCTTATTACTGTTGAGATATTACTGTAATTTTTTTAATAGGATAAACTTAACTAAGCTCGAATGAAAAATTAGAGAAGCTTAAGTATATTGGTTATATCAATTATTAACATGTAGTAACTAGGATTGTCAAGTATTAGTCACTATTTTACCTTAATTTTTTTTAAAAAATCGATTTTTTTTTACCAATGCTGGTATTGGCTTTGCAACACTTTTAGGCAGCACTTTGCAAGACCAAGACCGATTTTGAGCAACACTAATTGCACTTATTTTATTGCACTTATTTAACTTATTTCTATATTATATTATCAATTGTTTACTGGCTAATTTAATATTTGAATTATTCACACGAGCCAACTTGCAATGCAATATTTCTTCTATTGCGTTTCAATTTTTGATATAAATAGTTATTGAACTTTTTGAATTTTGTTCAAAGGAATCTCTGATAGATACAGAAATTCTTTGAGGTCTTCCATTCGCTATTGTTTCCTTTTCATCTCTTCGATAATGGCTTTCCTCTATGGGAGGAGAGTACACAATATGTTTTCGACAAAGAACTGATCAGACTTTTATATTGAAGTTTATTTACTCTTTTTCCTCCGATTGCTTTTTCATTTAGGCTGAGGGAAGAAAGGTAAGCGGCGAATTGAAGGGACCGGGGCCAGGGAAAAGCATTTCGGTTAAGTGGTCCAAGAGGGCTGGTTTTATCAGAGTTACGTGACTTAGTCGAAGGAGGGTTCCTTGAACAAACATCTCAGGTATGTTTGAGCAACCTTCTGTATTCCGTTCAGGCCGCTCTCATTGTAAAGGTTATCTCATTCTTATTTTTATTCCTTCTTACTGAGATTTACAACTGTAATTACAATAAATTATTTTGATTAGTAGAACATTATGCTGGTAAGTATTTATACGAGTGGTAGCAGCTCTCTAGAGCTACAAAAAAAAAAACCTGTACCACTACAACCCATGAAGGACCTTGGGTTCAGTAATATTTAGGGAATGAACTGTTTCTTGGTCAACGGTTGTGCAAGGAGGTGATTTAACCGAGATCACGTTCAAACTCCAGTTTTTTCCTCCATAATTAATTATTTAATTACAGGTATTATTTTTTTATGGGTCCTCCCCTTTCTCGCCTTTAAGGCTATACGGTTTTTTTCCGGGCCATAAGGTTTGGACGGGGATTTAAAAGCACCGGGACGCGAACTCGTGACAATTTTAAATCCATTGTCTCATAGGTCAGGTTGCCGGGCAACGGCGGTGCTGTGCCATCTGGAAGCCTCTACGTAACAATTGTAAGATCCCTCAATAGAATCAACAAAGATGCAATAGAGATGGGTGCACATGACTGGAAATATATAGCCCAAGACAGGCAGAAATGGAGCATACTTGTTAAGGTGGCAAAAGATCGACATGGTCTGCAATGCCAACAGGAAAAAAAAATGCTGGATGTCCTTTGAGTTCAATAACATTTTTCATGGATTAAATCATAATTTGTAAATTTATTTGTTTTATAATTTGAATAAACAAATATTAATTTTTACTTTCTTTGAGATCCATACCACCTGTATCCATTAGACTGGGGTTACCTACGGCTTGATGAGGGATCATCATTGAAGGACGTAGTGAGGAGGCTTCAAGTAATGAATTTTTTTTTCCCTTCTCGATCCTGGCCGGGGGCCGAGAGCTTTCATGTTAAATCAATCCTTTGTCCTGGACCACTCCTGACCCGTTGAGTGTTCTTATTGGTTCGGTTCAAGTTACATCATCCCCTTTTGTAGCCCTCTCTTCTCATCTTCAACAAAAGCCAATAGGGCTACGTGTGAATCCTATACTCCACCGTGTTGTTTATGGATTAACAACGAACAGTACGATTACCGGTTAGTGTTACCGGAATAATGTAAATTCGAATTATTGAGATCGAATGATAGACTGCTAACGGTTGTGCGATTTAGAATATTAATTTTAAAAAAAATATATATTTTTTCATGTCTTAATGATATTTACAACTGTATTAAAGAAATAAATTTAGTAAATTTGAATATATGGATATAATGACGTGAAAACCCTTGTTGAGAAACTATCCAGTGGTATCACTCTAATAATATGTCTACATTAGGAGATCACGGGGCCATATTTTTTTCAGAGGCCTCGGAGGGTTATCAGGAATTGAAGAGGAAGCAAGGCTAGAAACAAGAGGGTTGGAATGATTCTGAAGTTTATTGGGAAGGATAGGTATCTGGATTGGACCAGATCTAAAACATAAGAAATATTATGGTCATTATGGATGGTTTTATTTGTAACAAAGTAAGGAGCATTGGGGGTTTTACGAAGGATTTTGTATTGTAAGGATTGGTTACGAGAGGAATTCGATGGTTTAGTGGTGCTCCATAGCTCAACTCCTTAAGTACAAATAGGCCTTATTATAGTCAGGTATATGAGCCTTTTGTAAGTAATTGGAAGCTTAGAGCGTTTGTCTAGTGAGTGCTGAAGTAACGGAAACTTTGAGCGGTTTCTTGTATTTCTTGAGCGGTGACAGTATTTTATCAAGAGGTCTTAAATATCATTTTCAGATAATTTTCTTAATCCTCGTTCCCTATCTAGAGCGATCCAAAAAGGAAGTTTTAGTGAGTTTTAGTATACTTCAGTGCCAGAAAATCGTCCTATAAACAGAGATGTCTCTTAACGAGAGAACTCCTCATTCCTCAAGCAGTTTCACTATATTTAAATTTATTTTCATTTTACAAATCCTTTTTAGAAACGATCCTTGTACGATATCATTGGAACCAATGCTAACTACACCCTAGAGCAGTGAAGGAGGTGGTTAACAGACAGAGGTATCGATCTTGCTAAGGTAAGCCCACCTGAATCCCGCCGCAGCCGACACGTTCACGTCCTGACGTCAGTCCATAACTCAATCACATTCCCTCCGCGAGTTTTCGGCTGGTCTTTTCCAATCATCTCTCCCGGTAGAGGTCTCAACTTTGATCCCAACACCAAATCGAACAATCACAGATTATTTTGAATTGTCATTCCTTGTTATCTAGCTCAGTAGCGATTTCGCATCAGAACTAAACACCGACATACATACATGAAAAAACAAGAAAACGTAATTTAAAAAAAATCAGTAGTCAAATGATTTCTATAACTCGGTTCTATCTGAACGTATAAAAGAAAAATGTTATTCGCTCACGGATCTATTGATCACTATATCTCAATATAAAAACACTATGTTCCTTCAGAAATAATAGAAATTTCATTACTATCGACTGACGTCAGAGGAAGGCGGGATAGTGTTTTCAGCCCCCTATTTTTGAACACCGAGAAAAACATTAATTATGTGCTATTTTGTTATTCTAAAGGGACTTTATCCCAGAATAAAGTTATTTTCTATTTCTATGTCTAATATTTTTCGACGTAGTTTAAAAAATAAAATAAAAAGAATGGTTCAAATCGGTGACCGACTGACTAACCTCTCTTGGTAAGCGATATTAAGATAAAAACAAATGATTAATTCTATACCTGAAGTCCTTTTACAGACTGACATTCTTTACTGATAATAGTTGAAATTCTTTCAGATAAATGTTTTAATTACTACTTGTTATGCCTTAGTGATAATTGGCTATCTGAGAGACTGAAGACTTTCCTTAAAAATATTGTAATAATGATCATTCATTCATTACTTCATCTTATTATTTAATTAATGATTTGATGATTGCTCACTCACCCAGTTGTCCATGGCTTCTCTTCTCCCCAGCAACGCCCTCTGGATTGTGGGTCCAGGACCATCGGGTTCTACGAATTCGTTTACAATTCTGCGAGTCGCCTCAAACGTTTCCTCATCTACCAGTGGCCGAAGGTTGTCTAAGTATCGGCCCATCGTCTGCTCCAGGTCTGGTACAGGATGTTTAGGCAGCTAGAAAAAGGAAAAAAAAAATATAATATTGTAATGTACACCTTTATTGGAAGTGATTGAAAAGGCTTTAAGAAATTAATGTTGAACAATTAAAAGGCAAGCTAATCTAGTTCTACTAGTGCAGTGAAAAGAAAATGGCTGCTCTGTAGTTTCCCAAGAAGAAAATCCCAAAGAGGAGAGGGACAAAGTTTTTGTTTTGGCAGGAAGTTGATGTTTGGCTGGAGTGAAGATAGGATAGAAGAAGGACCTGTCTCCAGTGGATAAAACGAAGAAAAAGTGTTACCATTTTAATAGATGCTTTCCAATCTTCTGCCAAAACACAACTAAAAAAATGGTAATACTTTCTTCTACTAGACTCAAGCTCCCTGTGAGATCCTCTCTCTTTTAATTCCAACAAGAGGCTGTTTAATAATAAACAAAATTATAAGAGTAATAATATATTTATTTATCTCAGGTGTGGGTTACTGACAATCAGATCAAAACACTCAGACTAACTAACATTAACTGTACTAAACACTGTTTGATTTTAAAATAAAGTCAAATATGGATTGGCAAGCTAACCTTTTTTCTATAGGTACTGATTCTTCCTTTGTTGCACTAAATTCATTTGTCTTCAAATGCTTTCCAATGTCCTGCCAAACACAACTTCCAAAATGGTAATACTATTCCATGTACACTTTTATTGGAACTGAGTAAAAAGGTTTTAATAAATTAATTTTGAGCAATTAAAAGGCAAGGTAACCTAGTTCTATTAGTGCAGGGAAACGAAAATAGCAGGTCTTTAGTTTCCCAAGGAGGAAAATCTCAAAGAGTAGAGGGACAAAGGTTTTTGTTTTGGCAGAAAGTTAATGTTTGGCTGGAGTGAAAAGAGGATAGCCTAGCTCCAGTGTTTGACAGAACATTGGAAAGCATTTGAAGACAAATGAATTTAGTGCAACAAAGGAATAAATAGTATCTAAAGATAAAAGGTTAGCTTGCCAATCCATATTTGACTTTATTTTAAAATTAAACAGTGTTTAGTATAGTTAATGTTAGTTTGTCTGAGTGTTTTGATCTGATTGTCAGTAACCCTCACCTGAGATAAATAAATATATTTTTACTCTTATAATTTTGTTTATTATTAAACAGCCTCTTATTTATTTAGGAAGTATCCCAATGGTAAGAAGTGAGCTTCCGAGGTTACATTATTATTATTTATAAAATATAAGAGGGGTGTTACAATACCCTAACATACACCAAAAAATAGTTTCGGAAGTAATGCGCAAAAAAATTATAACATTTTACATAACGTCGTTATACAAATTAATTAACAATTTAGAACTGGAGATATGAAATAAAAACGCTTGAGAAGATTTTCTTTAATAATTAATGTATTGAGGAAAAAAAATCTCCAACAAAATTAAGTCCAACAATTTATATATCTTTACTAATATGAATACGATAGCCCTAGTACCAATGCCCTTCAGTGTGGCAGACTATTAACACTCAATTAAATAATACAAAAAAAATAATAAAAAATAAATAAAGGGACGCTTGAAACGAATCTGAATGTCTGTTGCATGACAACAAAATATTCGGTCTACTTTATTGGAAGAGTATTTTGACTTTTATAATTAAATACTACCAGTAATATATTTTTCTTATTTTGTTTTAAAAAAATCTATTGATATGTCTTAACTTAGAAATCCATGCACGAAAAATGTATAAAACAAAAAATATTGAAATATTCAAATTTCATTATATTTTTTTTTTGGGGGGGGAGGGGAGGCTTTGCTAAGATTCCTTAGCTATGAGTCCATAATTTTTCGACCTGGTATCACCAAAAAATAACTTCATTAAAATCGACGACTCAACGTCCGTAACCTCTCTTTGTTAGCTGAAATCCGCTTTTTGTTTTTTCCATAAACCTTCAATATAACTTTAGAAATAAAAAATATGTACAAATATCGAAAGATGATATATTAAACCTTCTATAGATCGGAACATATCTAGTCAACTATAAACATTAAAAGTTTACTAATTTTAATGTTGGTAAATATTTCAATTCATAACAGCCGTACTTTACGTCTTTTCAACCAATAACATTTAGGGACATCTTCAGGACTAAAATTAATTAAGAAATAAAGATATATGTATACATTTAAAAGTTAGAAAAAATGAAGAAAATCCACGTCATTTATTGCCTTTCAGAACCATTTATTTCACATCTAAAAGTGGTTCTGTATATGAAAAATCAAAATTGACCTTAATTAGTCCACCAACCTAAGTTTCTCTCGAAGAAAACAACTGCCTTCAAAACTCTTATGTAAAGTACCTCGGTCTCTACTTAGATAAATGATTTACTTGGAACATGCATACGGTATTTAAAATACAAGAACTGACTAGACAATACAACCAACTCTAACATCTTCTGGACTACAGGTCCTCACTTAACCTACAAAACAAGCGACTAATTTGCAACATTGTATTTAGACCAATTTGGACTTACGGAGCAGAAATTTGGGGATCAGCAAAAAAAAGTATAACCACAATTGGAAGTTCAGCGCACAATAGTGTATTTTAAATAACACTATTCATAACAACCTAAACATTTCAGTTATTTCAACAGTAAAATCGTGCAGCTACGACAAGTACACTACATTTCTCTGTTCTACTCAAAAAAATTATTTTCCGTTTAACTATGTATCCGCATCTGTAATGGTATTGACAATCAGCAGATGTGTTGTGATGATAAGTTTTGACGTTATTGACATGAGGAAGGATAATACCCAGCAGTACCTCTTCCTGGTCATTATTTTCTTCCTTGATTTACGTGAGGAGATCTCACATCCAGCTCCTTTTTAGTCTCCTCGTGATGGGCATATGAGTCGTGGCCATGTCATTTATAAGTATGTTTGTGTGTCTATGTAGTTTGAGATGAAAACGAGAGTAGAGAGTACATATTCGTACGTGTTGGTCTATAGTTGGTTATCGTAAGTCGTTATGTAAAGTTTTGTTGTTGACGTACCAGGGAGCTCCTGTTTTTTTTTTTTGTTTTTTTTTGTTCGTTCCCTCCGTTCCTCGCCATTAAGGCTATACGGGGTTTTCCCGAGCCAGGGAGTGTGGGCAGGGATTTAAGAGACTCTCTCAGCAGCGGGACGCGAAATCGTGACCATTTTTGTATCATATGATTGATATATCAGGTTGCCGGGCAACGGCGGTGCTGTGCACACGCGTTAGCCCATTCGGCCACCCCGCCCACTATGGTGGGGGGAGGAGCTCCTGTTATAAGTCGTAAAATTTTGGATTGAAATGACTGTAGTTTTTGTAAGTGGGTCTTTTTTGCCGAACCGTAAATCTGAGAGGCGTATGTCCAGATGGGTTTGAGTTATTTATATAAATGTATACTGAGTTATATATTGAATTATTTAAATATGTAAAGACGTTATGAACACTTTATAATAATAACACTGGTCGAATTGAGGAAATTTCTAGGCCCTGTCGTACAGAGAAAAATCTATCGAAAAGGAAAAATTGGAGAATGAGGTAATATGTATGAGGTAGTAGTGTTTTGAGTTTAAAGAGAAGTCCCTGGTGCCAGACTTTATCGAATGCCTGGGCAACATCCAGAAACACGCCGGTTGTGTACTGTTTTGCTCTAGTGCTCCAGCAATATAGTACGTAACTCTGTGTAATTGTGTTTTTGAATGGAACGTACGAAAACCGAACTGATATTCAGGAATTATATTTTGCTCCGTCAGTATGTCAACCAATCTTTTGTTTATTATTTTTTCTAAAAGTGCAGAACATATTGGGAGAAGACTTATTGGTCGGTAGGATGAAGGATTGAAAATGTCTTTGTCTTTTTTGTGTATCCTTTTGATGTGTGAACTAAAAATTAAAGTTAATATTAAATAATAAAAATATAAGTAACAAGTAACAATTTATTTCTGATTCTCGAAGTGAATTAAGTTATTTTAATGATAACAATAACTCTTCGACCGGTGCTCGGTGTGATTATATCATGTTGTGAAGAAGGAGAACCGATCTGGCGAAGGGCCTCCTTCGTGTTGCACTTAATCCGACGAGGACATGCAACCCGCGTCTTATTGATCAACTCCTCAAGGTAGGCCTTTTCTTCCTGTATTTTCTTGTTAAATTTACTGCTTCTTTATTTTTATTTTCCCCCTCAGATTTATGGTATTAGCTATTTTAATTTCTTTTTTTCATTCTGGAATATTGTTCCCATAATCAAAAATTATCTGTTTGTTATATGATTTAGACGCTAACAAAATTTGTTTTACGTCAACCTGTAGTCAAACTACAGTGATGGGCACAACATACACTTACGTTTAAGCCGATTTTGATGTACTTCTTATAAATTGTGGGGCGGGAGGGGGCTAAATGGTCTTATATAAATTTTATATATAATACGGTAGCATAGATCCCTTTTTGGATTTCAGAAATCATGGATTCATGAGTAATCAAACGAAAGGAAATTTCATGAAGAATTGAGAAATCCCAATTTTAAAATTTAAAACCTTACACCTTAAACTTCATTGAAAAAATTAGTTTTTAAACAAAAGTCAACGGATCGAGACCTGATAAATTTAGTTTATGTTGGCATGGAAATCAACAAACAGTGTCGTTCCTTTGGGTCCAGTATTTTAAAGCCAAAATATGAACTGTTTTTGTGATAGATCGTAATTCTTGCCCAATAGCTTTTCGGTACTATGGTTGGCATTGGATACCTATCCCAAATTTAGGTTTTAAAAATTAATAATTTGCTATTTGTGGTAGTCGTCGACAGACTAAAAATGTAACTATAGGCGGTTATCTTTATGATCTCTTAAACAAGTAGGATAATATTTATTTTAACATTTTATGAAATTCGCACCTGCATCTAGGATCTAACAAAGCGGCAGCGAACCTAGCAAATTTCATGTATTAGGCATTAGCTGCGAGTTTGCTTGATTAATCTTATTTCGTTGTTATTGTAGGAGTAGGTAACTTGGAAATTT